AAACAATGTGGACAAGGAAAGGTATTACAATCTAGAATGTTAACAGAGGAAAAGAACAAGTATCTTTTTAAGAACATTAGAGAAATCATAGAAAAATTTATAGCTAAAGTAGAAAAACTCAAGATAAATCACCAAAGAGATTAATAGAAGGAAATGAGGTTAAAGGTCAATGGAAAGATTACATTAAAACCCTTTAACAAATAGAACTACAGAACTCACAGAGATATTTGTAGAGAAACACTTTATCAAGGAACTGACTCCACTAGACAGTGAAATAAGACAGGCAATAGATTAGTGTCAAATAGGAAAGTATCAGGCAGTACTGAACTGTTAAAAGCCACAGGAGAAAAAGCAGTTATGCTAACACCTTATCTTAACAAATATGAAACAGGACTATGAGATCTAGAGATTGGAAAAGATAGTGTATTCACCTGCATCAAAGGAGGGAGATGCAAGAGATTGTCCAAATTACCTAATGATTGCAGTTATTCCCAGGCAAGCAAAGTTTTGCTAACATTTTACAAATAGAGGCATTAATGAACAGGAAGATTTCACAGAAGGCAGCCAAAAAAAGATTAGATAGCATAAGATGCTGTTTGAATATGTCAAAGTGTGAAACATATCACAGCTAATGGGTATGCCAGAACATTTGATTTTTCTTTTGAGGAATCTTTCTAATGAGTAAAAAACTACTGTAAGTATTGTTGGGAAAGTGGTGGGGTTCCAGTTACAGAGGGCCCTGGAGGAAATTGATTATCTAGACCTTTTGCAGTTGGGTTTCAAGTCAGAACATAGTGTGAGGTTGGCATTGATCATGCTTGTGGATTACTTGGGGAAGCTGGGATGGGAAGAAGTACAACCAACCTGGTTTTCCTTATTTCTCAGCAACTTTTTATACCATCAAATATGGTATCCTTCTGGACCAAATGTGGGGAGTGGGAGACATGGTCTTACAGTGATTCTCCTCTTTCTCTGTGGCTGGTTCCAGTTGGTGGTGATAGGAGGAGAGAGGCTGAGCCCAATGCCCCTGATTTGTAGGATGCCTTGGGGTTCAACACCGCTCCTATTTCACATTTACGTGAAATCACTAGGTCAGGTCAGTTAAGGGTCAGGTATCATCAATATGTTGAAAAAACAATAAAAACTAACAGGAATTAATATTAAGAAAGAAAACAGAGAAAGAAAGATTAGAAAAGAGAAATAGTCAAGTTTAAAAGTGTGAAAAACAAGAAAAACAAAAAGAAACAAAAGAAAAAAATTGACTTCCAACCCTCCTTACAACAGATATAAGTAACAATATACATCAAACATTTATTCTAAGGTTACAACATAACTTCCATTATTTCTATTAACCCATATTATTTCTAATTATCAAATATTATTTCTATTAACCCATATTATTTCTAATTATCAAATATTATTTCTATTAACCCATATTATTTCTAATTATCAAATCCATACAACATATTTTCATTTTTTTCTGTTTTCCACAAAAAGTCCAAAAAAAGTTTCCAATTAGCATTAAAATTATACAATGTCTTATCTCAAATCAAAACCATCTATTTCTCCATCTTCAACCAACTCCATCAACTTCACCATGTTGCCATATATAAAAAGAAAAATGCATAAATTTAATAATAAATATATTCTAACTTAAATCATTATACACAAATCCTTAAAACCATGTCATTCAATCCTGATCCAAAAAAGAAA